AGACTGGATGCAATGAATAAGATGAACGTGATCTACAAACTTCGGTGCAACAACTGCGAGGAACACTGTCGGCCATACTCGAGGAAAACTTGCCACCAGAGTACACTAATACAAGCTTGCCATCAGAAGATATGACCCAATGTCACTTGTTTTAGTTCACGAAGACAGAGAAGGTCATCAGTTCAATTGTGACTGTGTTCAACTCATGCAGGAACAAAACGGGAGCGCGAGTTTTTCGAGGTGTAGTACTCCACAAAAATCGACCGACGAACACAGTACTATTGACCCAGTCTATCGGCCACAACGAACCAAAGAAGTACACAGCTGTGGGTTGTTTGGGAAACCAATCTAACAATGGCCAGCGGGCCAATCGGATTAAAGAAAGAGCTACTAAAAATAAAAGACCGTTTGATCACCCAATCAAGTGGAACCAAAATCGGACAACAAAGCAGGAAGGAAATGGCCCACCCGAAATGGAAGAACAGAACTGCCAAATCTTAGGAGCCCAGTGAACCAACCAGATACAAGGAAACCAGGTCACAACTTTAAGCTGACCAACCGAATTGTGCAGAAGCCAGCTCAGGACCAACTACCCGCTTTAAAGTTATTAGAAACTATATAAAAACACATTATATGAACGCTCAATCCTGCGTGGACAATGTTGCCCCGATTAACGATGAAACGTTTGTAATCCATCTGCCAAACTCGGTCAACAGTGAAGCTGCGCTACTAGCATTTTAACGAACAGTTTGTCACTGTGCGCCAGCTGGTAGCGGATCATTGTCCTTTTTTATTGTTATCCATTTGGGCAGCGACTCATGCGCGAATGATAATTGGTTGGCAGTGCTGTTTAGTTATGGTGCTTAACTCCGGCGCTTTCCATTGTAAGATGTGGCGTTTTGAACCCATCTGGAGCATTACCCTGGTTCTGAGTTTATATTTTTCTTTCCACAAAAGTAGGTTGATCAGAACAAGAAAGCGCTTCATGCCTTAATGCGTATGAGCTACAAGAGAGTTTTGCTCTCTGCTACCAACCGATTGCTCCAGTTATAGTGCGCGTCTAACGCCTTCCGAGGTGGTGGTGTACGAAACTATAGTTTCGACGTTGAAACTGAGCAACGCACGAGATGCCGCTGGTTACCAAGGTATACAATGTCCAGTATTTTTTTTCGCCAAGATGAAAGAAATCTCGTACCTTTGGTGACTAACTGATTAATAGCAAGCCGAGAGGCATGCAATCGATTTGCAAGGTTGACTCGGTAAGCACTGAAATGAATGAAGACACCATTCAGTTGTTTCACTTTTCGCTTGAGGGCTGCAAAAGTTGTAGTGGTCTAGCTACCCAGGGAATAAATTATAATCCAATCATGTTTGTCCAGGTGTCTTCTGTTGAACAGTTTTCATATATAGTAAAATCCGAAGATAGTCTGAAATGTTGTGATACCATAGTTAGCACATGAGACTCGCGAATGACCGCTGTAAACGCAAGCGAAATCAGGAGAGGAAGTCGAAGCACCTTTCCACGTTTGTATTGCGTGAAATTGTACAAGTGCGCGTTTTTGTAGTTTTTCGTATTCAAACAAAAAACGCTTATGCAATTGGCGAAATACGTAATGTTGTAATGGAAGCAAAAGAAAGGGTACAGATCACCACAAAATGTTCGCATAAAATATCACCTCTCCCTCAAGCTAAACCTGTGCCCATACGCCATGTAGTGGGCACCTGGTCCGCTCTCAACACCTGCACACAAGCTATTTTGTAAATGCCGTTGATGTTTTTCAACTACTGAATAATTGTCAGTAGTTTATAATATTCAAGCAGTAGTTATGGCAGGGAATCACCCGTGCAGTCCACGCTCTGTTTCAACGCTTTTGCATGCGTGCGCCAATCACGTTCGTGCTTAATGTGTAAACATGTGGAAGCACATAAGAACCTTGCAGTCATTTTTTTGTTTCTCGGCACCGCCACGTCTTAACTTTGTCGAACTTTGATGTGAGGAGGAGTTTTGATTTGTTTGAGTGCCCGTAACATTCACACGGTAGTTAAGCACCAGTTGATCTCTTGATGATAGTGCTCTTTTTGGTGATGTGGATTATACTGTTTCTTCGTTTTTGTTCATGTTTATTGAATTCGTTTTCTTGGTTTTGTTGTTCGATTTACAGTCAGGCTGTGTTATTCCGCGTAGATTCAAGTTAATCCATCATAGGATTACGTCCTGAGAAAACTTATTTCGGAAGGCTATTCGTCCTGTTTAGTTGGATGTGGCTCAAAGGTTTTGGTTTCTGTTTCTCATTGGGTGCGAAAAATATCCATTGTCGGGCAATTTTTGTATTCTCAGCTAGAAGAATCACATGTACTTGTTATATCTGCTGATTCGACAGTCTGCTGTATCTGATTGCTGACCCGCTCCAGTACCTAATGCCGGAAAAAAGGCTCACAGAAGGGAACACAACAGCTATATTCCGGACAAGCGAATGCGCGCGAGTGCAAAATTACAACGGTCTGAAGCCAGTTATTGGAGGGACACTGTCTGAACTTGGTCCAATGTTGACGCGCGTGGTCTGGCTTTGGTACGAGGCTGAGACGCGCTGCATATTGCGGGGGCGTTGTCTGGCTGGTCAACATCTGGCGGAGCTGAGAACCTCAGTAGATTTCGAGCACTCAGTGGTTGCTTTCACGAATCTGACCTTCCTGATAGTACACCAGAGAGGGTTTGGGATCAAACAACCCTCTTTGTACGAAACACACTTATTTGCAAACTAATTTGGCTTTGCGGGAGACTCGCCTGGGACCCAGCTGAATCTCTCGTTTGTGATGTTTCCAGGCTTCGAACTCTCGACTGTCGGCTGACACGTAGAAGCTGTGAATCTTTAAACGAGTCATTCGAACTTGATGATGTTCTTATTAACGTGCTCCATCCACGTAGTTGAACTCCCTCCGCGTTGCTGCACGTCACGTACATTTATTGATTGTTTATTGAGGAATCGTTTTGAACGATTGGTACGGAAACGCCGTGGAAAACCAACGAACTAACCGGAATTCTGAACTAGTAAGGCGTCTCACGGGAAAATATACGCATGGAACGTTCGATCCTTATTCAAGGCAGCCACTAAGGATGCTCCGGTGGTTTGAACACATTGGGACGATTATGCTTCAAGTAATCCGACTTAATTGGTAGATATACCCGGTTATTCATCTTGATAGCTGTGGTATTCTCAAGGCTGACCGAACAGTGAAACTCGTTCCAATAGGTGGTGGTGTGGTGATTTTTGACAACCGGATGTGGTAGAAATCGTCCTGCGTGTTGCACCACTTTAGGTCAGCGAAAGCGAATGCTATTCATTTTTGGTATAAAGCAGGATTCTTGTTCAACATGTGGCCAAATCCACTTACTTCCCAGGGCTGCTGTCTCTGGTCTAAAACGGTTCTTTGACTAGCTTTTCACTCATATTACTACTTATCTTGATATGTTAGTGCATTACCGCTAGTTGTCTGAATAGATGTGAAACCTGTTCTTAAAATCTTTGAGTATGGTGAGCCCATCCGACTTCATATTCAACTACGCCCTATTTTGTAAATAAATCCGGCCACTTTGTTGCCCTCTGTCAAGGTCCCTGGCCATTTTACTCTCGTTCTGCGTTTCATAACTATCGTAAAGGCGTCCGCCATTCTTAAATCGCTTAGTTTCCTTTCACGGGATTTATAGAAGGAGCTGGAAGTTCAAATATTTTGACCGCCTCAAATTCCAACCCTTCCGCCCACCTCTCAGTGTGAACATGTATATACTGGTCTAAGCTTCGTTGTGGTATTTGGTGTCTGGTTGAGGCTGACTACATCCGAACCAATAGACTTCTCGGAGTCCCCAAAATGGCTCTGGAAAGCCAAAGATAGGAAACAAGAGGACTGCCATCGTGAAAATGTGAAGCGTATGTCCCACCTGGTAAGGCAGGCAACCAGCCATTTCAGTTGTGTTTATATCTATATGAAACCGGAGGTTGCTAGGAGGTTTGGTGTCGATTGAAGCAAGTATATGGTGATCTTCCACTTTTCTCCAGTCTCCTTTCAACTACCAACTCGGGCCACTTTTGATCCTGATGAAGTATAAAAGCTGTAAAAACAATCTGCTTAATAAGATGAATTGTTTTGGTTCCCCACTTCTTATCGAATAGGAGACTGCACCTGAATGCTTCCAACCCCACTGGTCTAATTGTTCAGTTGATGGTAGTCTTTCGGACTGATTGGTTTCTTACCTTCCTAAACCAATCAGCATAAAAGATGTTTAGTTGTTTGAGAGCACCGGTCCCTGTGACCGATGGTATAAAAGAAGCTATTCGGCTCACAGGAACTCAAATTTGTCATTATCGAACAGAACTCAGAATGACTATTGCAGTATTTTTCGGACCTCCCGGATAATTATTACTTGGTTTTGCAGTTGGCTTGATCTATCGACCACCATAACTAAACTTGTAGGTTAACACTAAAGAACTGCGTCACAGTCGAAAACAATAATAGAAAGAAAATCACCTGTGTCAAGCAGGAACCGACTGAACAACCCTTTGTAACGCAGTGATTAATAAGGGAACAGGCACCCAATATCGATCGTGGATGAGTACCCTGTCTATCTGAGTCAAAAAACGAGTTCTGTTCAGCTCGTCAACATAGAAGCACAAGTGGCAGATCTTAAAATTACTTCCATTTTTTGTTGATCTGTCTGTATGCAACGGATTTTGTCTTGCCGAAGCGAAATCACTGGTTGCGGCTTTCGTAAAGAAAATCGATCCCACTAAAACCGTTATCTGAGTAGGGACTAATTATACTGTAAATAAACAAGGTTGCATATCAGCGGAACACTTATTTGCAGACAAATTAGGTTTGGTCTGAAACCCAGCTGATTCTCTTGTTTATGATGTTTCTAAGTGTATTACGTCTATACAAGGCTGCATATCTGTAGTAACGGTATTTTCCTCAGCTTAGTTCTCGGTCTGAGCCTCCCAAGCTAGCGTTCACGTCAAAACAACCACCAAAGGTGCACAAGGTCTATTAACGCCCAAAACGAACTCAGGAACAGGTGTACAGCGCTTCGTATATATAGCGTAAGCGGCTATAACTTTCTGGAATTTCTGACGCGTTCTGGAGCGCCATTGGCAACCGGCATTTGGCCAATCATGACCCAGTATTGGCCAAATGCCGGTTGCCAATGGCGCTCCAGAACGCGTCAGAAATTCCAGAAAGTTATAGCCGCTTACGCTATATATACGAAGCGCTGTACACCTGTTCCTGAGTTCGTTTTGGGCGTTAATAGACCTTGTGCACCTTTGGTGGTTGTTTTGACGTGAACGCTAGCTTGGGAGGCTCAGACCGAGAACTAAGCTGAGGAAAATAC